TTAGAGATGTTAAAATTTAAAACAAAATCATAAATAACAATTTTAGTAAATAATTTTTTAGTAAATATTAATTTGTTATTTACTAATTCCTAAATTTTTTTTTAAAAAAATTGACCCTATTAAATTTTATTTTTTTTACATATTCAAATTTGAGCCGATTTGAACTCTACCCGAGTTGTTAACACCGATTAAAATTCTCTTTCGAGTCGATTAAAATTTAAATTAATTAAAATTCATATATTTTTATATATTAAAATTTGGACTGATTAAAATTCAATGCGAATTAATTAAAATTTGATTTGAGTCGATTAAAAATAATTTTTAATTGACTCAAACAAAATTTTAACTAGCCCAAATTCTAATACGTAAAAAAAATATATAATTTTTAATTGGCACAAATTTTAATATGTAAAAAAATAAATTTTAATTAGCTTGATTCGAATTTTAATCGGTTCGAATTTAATTACGTAAAAAAATTAGAAAACAGAAGGGGTCTCATTGAAAATATACTTATTTAGAGAGGGTCTCATTGAAGATATGTTTATCTAGAGGGGTGTGAATGAAGTTTGTCTTCAAATATATCATGGGCAATTTAATAAAATTGCATTCTACTTAATATTTTTAATCTGACAAGGGGTGTCATTGAAGATTCAAAAACTAGAGAAGGTGTCTTTGAAGATATGATAAATTTGAAGGGGTGTGGTTGAAATTTTTCCTTTCGAAAAATAACTCATAAAATTTCAAAAGTGAAAAATTGAAAACACATTATATAATAAATAGAACAAACATAAAAACTCACAAAAAATAATATGTATAATAAATTTTTGTTTCACTTAATTTAGTTGTTATATATATATGGGGATGCATTTCAATTCATCCATACACGAATTTATATGAGCATCTTTATATATATCTATCACCCAAATGAAATGAATTTGAACGAATACTAATTTTTCTCTTGTCTACTTCCATTTCTACCATAGACCGCCTTTATTATTTATCACAACTAGAGAAATTATTTAATAGGGGGAAATTTAATCCCACCACCATTTATAATAGAAGGCTTCAACCAACCGTTGTATGGAAATAACTTTTAAATATTTTACATTCACCGTTTTTTATTAAAAATGTGACACATGAAAAGTTTTATTATTTTAATATTTATTATATATTCTATTAATAACTATAGTATATATCAGTTTCAATATGATAAACTTATAACCGATATAATCATCCATCCATTCATCCATCTACCCTCTTATATTAGAGTAACCAAATTGCGTCACATTGAATTGGCGTGTTGATATAAAGTGTGCCTGCCACTGCCACTGCCACTGCCACTGCCACTGGCAGCGCCCCAGTGGTTACATCATTCAGTTTGGAGGCTGTTTCAAAACCAACCAAACCAAACGAAACCCAACTCAGATTGAAATTGCAAAATCCCCCCTAAAGATAATTGACTTGTGGAGTAGGGTGGGCTCCTTTTACTCTCTTTTTCTTCCATAAACACCGCCCCAACAATTACTCCCCCTCTTCCGATTACAGAGAAAGCCCGCGCGCGTTCTTATGGTTAGTATTTGGTAGAATAGAAAGAATGAAAAAAAAAGGATAGATGATAATTATGAAGAATAAATATTTTATTCTTCAAGAAAAATAAATTATTTGTCATTCTATTTGTTTGGATAAAAAAATAGAAGAAATAAATTTTTTATTATTTTATGTGATATGAGAAGATAAATGAATAAAAAAAAATGACAAAGAAATTAGCATAATTAATTATCAGGAGATATATTTTAATGTAACTTTCGTGGACCCCACTTGTACATAGAAAATGACAAGAAAAAGGTGGGCCCACACTCTAAAATCTGTGACTTTAAATTGTTAAAATGGCCGTTTAACTTTTGGGTTGATTAACAATGGTGGGCGAAAAGAATACACTTTCGACCCACTTTTCTTTTTCCCTTAATATTCCTTCGGTGCCAAACAAAAAAAGAATGTCATTTTTTATCTATTATTTTTCATCCATCTACTTTTTTATCAAGATCATTCCCGTTCATGTTCGTCTGGCCTTTTTTATTATTATTATTATTATTATTTTTCTGTGTCAATTTCTTCAATTGAAAGTTGTGAATCCTGACAATGTAGTAGTGGAAGATTATATTATAACCAACTATTAAACATGAAGTTATGGACCCTGATGACAATATAAACCATTATAATTCAACTTAATTCATTACATCTATGAGTATTCTTGAGCTCAACTATGACCTAGTCCGGCCCATCCAAGACAAATATATCATATCAACTACTGGATCACTAATCAACTTGATTTCAATTATGATAACTCGAATCTAGTTACTCTATAAATTTAGTTATTATTATTAATAAAAGTTACCTAAATTTTGGTCATAATACCCATTCAAGTTCATATTACATATTTTGGGTTAAAAGGTATTCAAATTTTGATCAATAACTACTTATTAAGTAGCATGTCATAAATTTATATTAAAAAATTATTAATAATTTAAATGTTATTTATTTGAATCAAATAAAATTATTATATTAATATTTTAAATTTAAAATATTGATTAAAATGTGATAAATTCTATATTTACTGGAGACCTCCATCGCTAAAAGCAGGGTAGGGTAGGGTAGGGTGATTGATTAACCAATTAATAATCATACTGGCAGTTTGGTACGTGCAAGTCCATTCTGCCATAAAGGAGACGATCACTTCTTTGATTCCTCCCTCCACTAATTAATTATTATAAGCAATAACTAGTCTGATACTGATTGATGTCTCTAAGCTGACAGATGGTGAATGGAATGCCACCCGCATCCCTGCCCCCTGCTGCTGCTGATGCTTATTATCAAGTTTAGGAATGTATGTAACCCAGGGTTAATTATACCGTGTTCAACATGATGATGGCTATTACCAAGTTTCTTAAACCCACAACTCTCTCAAGGCCACGTTTTGACTACAGTATTTTTGTTGCAAATAACTTAATTTTAAACATGACTATGATTTTAGGAATGAAGTTTATTTGCGTAATAAATTTTAAATTTTTATTCATTTCATAGAATAACCAATTATTATATGTATGATATGGATAAAATTATATTTTTTAAATTTATTTTATTAAATGTTATATCTCAAATAATATGTCAAAATTTCTGTACACTGAATGTTTGGTAAAAGTTAATAGACTTCACTAATCCAACGGTCCACTAATTTGAGATATAAGCTCGCTAGACTGCTCACCTCTGATCGGTCCAGATAATCTCTTTCATCCACCACCCCCAAGCTGGAGTTCCCCTTCCCCAATTTTGAAACCCTCCTCTCTCCGCCTCTCCCGAAACTCAATCTAAAAACCTCATTTCCTTTGATTTGAAAAACACGATCCTCACAAAATTCAAAAAATTCCTTGTATAATAAAATATTTAATTTTAGACTCTATAAAGTATTAATGCAAATATTTGTAAAAATTTTAAATTATAATAATAGGCGATTTGGTATTTTTAAATTTTATTATTAAAAGTTAGTTAAAAAAGAAAGAAAGTGTGATTAGAGTCAATTTTAAAAAATAATTAATTAAAATAAAGAATATAATAATTAAATATATTTTAACTAACAATTTGTTGAGTAAGGTTAAAGTTACTCTTAGTGGCTGAATTCTTACTTAGTTACTTATCTGAATGTGTGTATTTCCAATAAATAATTCGTGTAAAACTAGTTAGTGGAATACAATTATGGGCATTATGTTACGCTATTAATTCACATGTACGATGATTTTTAATATTGTTAAGAGAATGTTATATTAAAAATATGAGTAAGAGTGAAGAACAATAAGAACTTATTGACGCCTGGGACAATGTGAAAAGGAAAAAAAAAACTTTGATACGACTGAGAAGTTGTGCAGGTGTCTGTGGCGCCATGCCATGATTGCTTGCATTAAATTTGAGGGATAGGACTGTAAGGAGTAGCCAGGCAGAGAGACCCACCCAATGAGTGACAATGCAGACTTGGGATTGGACTCATGATTTTAGAGAGAGAGAAACAGTAGAGTTTAAACATTTTTTATCAGATCGGTGATGCTCGTTACTAAAATTGCCTGCAAGTAGAGGCCTAACCTAATGTAGTTTCAAATGGTAAAAGTTAAATTCAGTAATATTTACGTTTGATCTATTTACCGTTATGTAGATTGTATTTGTGTTGTTCAGTCAGACATTGTATTTAGTTAAATTTATATTAATTATATTAATCTTGATTTGTACTCATCAAATTATTTAACGGATCAATCAAATCCAACTATTTATCAACTGCAGTTGGTTATATTAAAATCAAATTTTTACATTTTATAGAGTAGTATTAAGTATTATTATATATATATTTTGGTGGGTGATGTCCGTATTAAATGATTTTTTCAATTTTATTATTTGACCATCAGAACATGCTGTTAGTGTACGTGATCTTATAGTAATCTTAGACTGATCAAATTTTGAGATTAATTTTGAAGTTTAAATGACATGACAGTTGATTATTTGAAATTTTTATTGGAATCCAAATGACATGACATCAATGAAAAAAATTCAAATCAACTACCATGTCATTTGAACTTTAAATTTAATCCCAAAAATTAGTCAATGTAGTATTATTCGTGATCTTATTATGAACTTTCAGGATGCTAGCCGCCCATTTTGACACGTGTAAGCACAGGGTTTGTAATGTAAGCACGAGCACGACTGACCATATTTTTCACCCGAAACAAGCACACCTTTTTATTTTCTTCTGACTTTACTTGAGCCTTTCGACAAAGAATTTTTGTGAAATTCTTTAGCCATACAGTATTTTATAATTTCTAGGCGCCTATATATATAGTCGCTGCTTGACGGTAAGTCTATGTCTGTTTTTGGGTAGGTCTCCAAGTCATTCCATACCATTCATCCCCAAAACTAGTACAAGATTGCTTCAGAAAACAGAGGTTTACTTTCACATAGAAATGGGGATGGTCGAAAAAGTTGAGACTTCAAAATTTAAGAGGGTTTGTGTTTTCTGTGGAAGCAGTTCTGGGAAGAGAGACTGCTATAGAGATGCTGCCATTGAGTTAGGGCAAGAGCTGGTAATAAATAGCATCTTATTCATGAAAGTTGAATATTTTGTTTTCCCTGTTCTTTTTTTGTTTCGATTCTTGATGTGTATATATATGTGTGTGTCTTGAGGAGTTTGTGTCTTTCGTGTGCATGTGAAGGTGTCTAGAAGACTGGATCTTGTTTATGGAGGAGGAAGTATTGGTTTAATGGGGTTGGTTTCTCAAGCTGTTCACCGAGGAGGAGGACATGTTCTTGGGTACGATATTAACCAGTTCAAGCCTTAGTATAGTTATGTCTGATGACGCATGCTTCTGTATCTTCTTTTTTTCTTCTATTTTTTCGCATGTTTTATTCGATTTTTTGGTCTACAGGATCATACCTAGGCTTCTGATGGGCAAAGAGGTAAAGCAGAATATTATCTTTGGGTTTCTTCTTGTTCTTAGTATTTTGATTAATGTAAACTTTCACAAAGTGTATTATTGCTGTAATGGTACTATGCGTCCCGAGTAAAGTGGGGCTATTTGTTTGTGGCTTTTATGGAGACTCAGAAAGCTGGCGAGACGATTGGGGAGGTTAGGCCTGTGGCGGATATGCACCAAAGGAAGGCTGAAATGGCCCGCCACTCTGATTGTTTCATAGCTTTACCAGGTCCATTTCCCCCCTACTGGCTCTGGTGTACAATACGACATGCATGTACTCATCAACGCACCACCTAGTGCATAATATATCCACACGTTTTTGTTTGGAATTAAACATTACCCTCACTGGAATTTAATTTGGTTTTCTATTTCCTCTCAAAGTTTCAGTGGTCGCTCTTTTTCACTCTTCTGGTATGTGTATTAGGTGGGTATGGAACTCTAGAAGAATTACTGGAGGTTATCACATGGGCTCAACTGGGCATCCATGACAAGCCTGTAAGCATATATATGTCACATTTAAAATATAAAATAAAAAACGTCATGTCTGTTCGATGTGTGTGACTTCAACCATGCTCTCTCTCTATTAACTGTCAGGTGGGTTTACTCAATGTTGATGGTTACTACAACTACCTCCTCAGCTTCATTGACAAAGCTGTAGACGATGGGTTCATAAAGCCTTCACAGCGTGACATTTTCGTCTCTGCACCAAATGCCAAAGAGCTCGTTCAAAAACTGGAGGTGCGTGTCTTACAACTGATAACTTTTTTTGCCTCCTGCTTTAGCTATTATTTGATCATTCATAAGAATGGAAAAGACATAGTGGTAGTAGAAGAAAGAATCTTCAGAGGTTACCATCTTTGCATCTTCATTTTTACTGTAATGATGATACCTAAATCTTTTGTTTTGTGTAGGAGTACGTACCAGTGCATGATGGAGTCGTAGCTAAGGTGAAGTGGGAGGTCGAGCAACAGCAACCACAACAAGTGGGGTTCAATGCTATGCCGACCGAGGTTGCTCTATGAAGAAAACAAAGATGAGAAAGGGGAGGCAAATGAACTAGTGTTTTGGGCTCTCTCCTTTTCTATCTGATTTTGGGTATTACGTACCAAGTACTAAGCCCACCAGAATGCTAGGGTGGGGTTTGAATGAATTGGACAAGTAAATAATATTTATAATTTCCTTTTCGTCTTTTGTAAGTGTTAGAACAATGCTTTTTGTACATATATATATATATATATATTGCGATTTGCGACTTTAAACATGGTTATATATATATGTATGTATGTGAAGCGTGTATAAAACGAAGTGGGAAGAACTAAGCTTAGAAGCAGTTTGCTATTGTATATATATTATATACATGCCCATTTGAACCAAAGCCGAGTGTTGTGGTCTTTTAAGTGTTTGTTTTCCTTTTTCTCTGACAGTGTTTAATTACTGTTGTCTGGAGTTCATTTTTCACTGGACTTGTATTTGGTTGGCTCTTGGTTAATGTGCAGCAAGTGTATATTTTACAGCTCATTTGTAGGTATAATCGCGAGAGAGATGGAGAAAATATTGAATGTAGTGATGACATTACTGTCACTAATTAATAATAAATTAATTTAAATTTATAAGTGAGTAGATCTTATTTAATTTTGTAATTATCATGTCCATGGAAAAAAAATCACTGCGTGTAGTTGGAGGGATGGCCTGAAAAGTAAGCATACTCTAACCTTTTCTTTCCTATCCCGCTGTCCAATAGCTGTTTCGGAAGCCCAATGACCGATCAAGTAAATGGACCGGCCGTGTGTTTCATGGTCGCACATTCTGGGTGATGGGCCAGCCTGCCTTGTAACAAGATAGGCTAAGATTAGCCTGGTAACCGTATATGTTACTTGAAGTTTTGTACTTTGGGCCTACACGGGGAAGATTCCAGGAAATTGCACAGAAGGTTCTTCATCGTTTCATCTTCGTGTCTGTTAGGTGTTAAGCAGCTTCGAATGATCACTAATATGATCAAAAAAAAAGAAAAATTACAGAATTTCTCCATATTCAGGAAGCAAAAAACGACGTTTGAAATTGATGGGTTCCATATATAAGTAACAGAATATCAAAATATACATATGACTACAGGTTTATGTGGACATTAATAAAGTAATTTATAATTTAAATCTCAAAAAATAAAAAAAAATTAATTTTCTTATTCGCAGTTGAGATCGTTTTAAATTTTACTTTAAAATTAATCTAACGGCTAATATTAATATTCTAAATTTAATAGAAAGAATATGTTTCTAAATGGCGTGTTTGGAGTGATTTTTTAAAATTATTTTTAAAAATTATTTTTCTTAAATATTTTTTAAAAATAAAATAGTATTTAAAACTTCTTCACCACTACATCTACCACCATCATCGCCATCACCACCACAACTGCCACCACCAGCGTCGTCGCTACCACTGTCATTGTCATCGTCATCGTCGCTGCCACCACTGCTGTTGCAACCCCCGCCACTACTGCCGCTACCATCACCATCGCCACCGCCTCCACCACTGTCACCACCACCGTCGCCACCATCACCATCGCCACCGCCTCCACCACTGCCACCACCACTACCCCCCCCCACCACCACAGTCATTGTCATCTACCACAAACAATCACTGTCTCTTACCACAATCATCACCGTCTCCTACCACCACCACTACCGTCCACCACCTCTCACCCCCACTATAAATCGATGCTTAAATTCTTTTATCTCTTTTCTATGTTTGTGATTTGATTTTTGGATATAAATATAAATATGTTTATTGTTTATCATTTTTAATTATTTTGTGTCTTCAGGCACAAATAATAAACTAGTATATATAATAAAATAGCTTACAATTTAAATCTCAAAAGATAAACAAATGAATTTTGCTATTTGCGATTGAGATCGTTTCAAATTTTACTTTAAAGTTAATCTAACGACTAATATTAACACCTTAAATTAATAGAAAAAATAGGTCTTTAAGAGTGTGTTTAGAGTGATTTTTTAAAAGTATTTCTACAAATTATTCCTCATAAATACTTTTTTTTTTTTTTAAAAAGTATATTTGAAACCATACCCCCATCACCACTGCCACCACCTCCACTATTACTGTCGCCTTCACCGCCACCACGGTCATTGTCACCACCACAACTATCACCGTCTCCTACAACCACTATTGCTGCCCACCATCTCTCGCCCCCACTACAAATCGATGCTTTAATTATTTTATCTTTTCTCTATGTTTGTGATTCGATTTTAGATATAAATACAAATATATTTATTATTTACCATTTTTTATTACTATGTGTCTTCAAGCACAGACAATAACTAGTATATAATAAAGTAGTTTACAATTGAAATTTCAAAAGATAAACAAAATGACTTTGCTTTTCGCGGTTCAGATCGTTTTAAATTTTACTTTAAAGTTAATCTAACGGCTAATATAAACACTCTAAATTTAATAAGAAAAATAGGGTCTTAAGGGTATGTTTGAAGTGACTTTTTAAAAGAATTTTTAAGAATTATTTCTCATAAGTACTTTAAAAAATAATAGTGCTTGAAATCGTTCCACCACTACCTCAACCTTCACTGCCGCCACCACCGCCGCCATCATCACTGCCACCACAGTCATTGGCACCCACCACAACCATCTTAGTCTCTTACCACTACTGTCGCTCACCACCTTTCACCCCCACTACAACTGATGTTTAAATTCATTTATCTTTTCTTTTTGTTTGTGATTTAATTTTGGATATGAATACAAATATGTTTATTATTTACTATTTTTATTACTCTATACATTTATGCACAGACAATAACTTATATATATATATAAGAGGTACCAATTATTATGTAGCGTTGTGACCACAAAAATAATTGTGTTGAATTCATCACAAGAGTACTATTAACCAAATATGTTAAAACTGTTAGGAAATTCATGCGAAATTTTCAAACTTGTGAGAAACAAAAATAGAGAAAACACACGCCAAAGAAAAATAATCACACATACAAGATAATATTTACTTGGTTCGACAATTTATCTACATCCACGAAGTTGTAGGGATTTCAATATTATCAAGAAGGAATATAGAGCAGCCATACAAAATCAATAAAACTCTAATCACCCAAAACAACAGGTTTTATATATCCTGCATCGGACTACAAAGCGGGCCAAAGCAGTAGCGCTCATGGACTAAGTTTCAAAAAAAATTTCATTAAAAATCATGCAATATTATTTCGAGTCGGGTCATAATCTGGATCAACACAAAAAATTAAACTCCACAAAAACCCAAAAAAAACTAATTAGTCTAAAATTTTACCTTGGGGGTGCTACTACTAGTATTAGTATAGAATCTAAATACATGGGGTTCTTGTAAGGAAATAGGACTTCTCATCCTTGCAGAGAGGCCGTTGGGGAAGACTTGAAGTCAAAATAGCCATCAAAGAATAATTTCTGAAGGATGTATTTGATTTGGTCAGATGCAATTATGTCACTATTATAGATAAAAAGTAGGAGGAGATTGGAGGGAAATGACTTTCCTTTCCCATCAGCATCAAGAAAATGCAGGCCATTCCAAACATTATTTTATCATTTGGGAGTTTAGAGTCCCCCACTCCGCTTATTGTTTTTTTCGAAATACTTTTTCAGGGGTGTAACAAAATACTTTCTTATATAATTAATATTTTACATTCTTTCCCCCTTTCTAGTTTTTTTTTTTGCGAACTTCGACGGTGCACGGAGATTTATTAATGTGAAAAAATTAAATTATTCTTAGATATAAGAGACGTATGTACCTTTTCAAGTTGAAACTAGCAAATATTTTATTTTACTTTAGTTGCAGAAAAATCTATTAAGACACTTTTTTTTGTTACAGGTTTTTCAGATTTGTATCGATTATTTCTTTGAGATCAACAGTTAGCGATTGTGACTTAAGTTAAATTAGAGTATGTCTCTTAAAAAGTATGAGAAGAAATTGAATTTAAGACTTCTGAGTAACAAAAAATCAGACTCAATCATTGGACTATGGTTCCTACCAAAGACTTGAAGCTTAAAAAAAATGTTCTCTCTCTGATAGGTTTGAAGCTTAAAAAAATGTTCTCTCTGATAGGTTGTAGTTTTCACTGATATTACGGTGAAGCCTTCAAAATTTTGTTGTTGAATTGATCCACAGTCCAGTGGCAATCTGAGGCATAGTTAATATGACTGATTCAACGTCTTTGTAATCAATGTTTTTGAAAATAAATGCTCATGAAAGTTGAAACTATAATCTCAAGATAGTCCAGATAGTGACGATTTATAAATTTAGACATCATGAATTTTAAATTTGACAACTCTCTTGGTCGGATTAAGAGAGATTTATTCTCATAAATTCCTTAATTCTGACGTGTATAATCTGTCTATAACTGGATTAGAAAGGGAATTAGTCGAAATGTATGTAAGTTGACCCAGACACCTCTAAAGACTACAAAAAAAAAAAATGAAAGTCGAAACAATAGGATGTTTTCCAAATGTGTAATCGAAATTTCCAAGGAAAATTCCATTTGATTGGAATTTCCTAGTAAAAGTCCAGAACTGAAGAAAGCAGAGAGTCAAGCAAAGAACCAAAGACGTGTTGATGTCCACATCATGTTATCAGTCTACAACCGTGTGGACCTACCATTTGGGACACCCATCTCAAGTCCTCTCCATCGAAGACTTCACTTGAAGTGCCACCACACAGCTCACAAATGTCCCCTATAAAAACCTTAGGGGGGGTGGTGGTGCATGTGGACCATTGCTCTCTATAAAACATTGCCCTCCATAAACACTTAGAAGAAAATAGCAAATATCCAGTACCCACAAACCAGAATTACAGGGACAGGAGGCACTCCCATGGATGAATCAACATTGGAGCTTGAGTTGCCAGGTTTTCGGTTTCACCCCACTGAAGAAGAGCTTCTTGAATTCTATCTGAAAAATATGGTTTTTGGCAAAAAATGGCGCTCTGATATAATTGGTTTTCTGAACATTTACCATCATGATCCTTGGGACTTGCCAGGTGAATATTGGGTCTGCTTTCCAGTATCTTTTCTTAGTCTTCCGAGATTATATATTGGTGGAGTAAGACTAATTCAGGCCGAGTTGAGTTGAGTTTACGTTTCATATTACCTTATTATTAATAGATATCATTGTTTAAACAGGGCTGGCAAAGATTGGCGAGAGAGAATGGTACTTCTTTGTGCCTAGGGACCGGAAGCATGGCAGTGGAGGAAGGCCTAATAGGACAACTGAGAATGGATTCTGGAAGGCAACTGGTTCAGACCGTAAGATACTGAGTTTATCGGACCCCAAGAGGATGATAGGGTTGAAGAAGACTCTCGTTTTTTATGAGGGCAGAGCACCACGAGGCTGTAAAACTGATTGGGTCATGAATGAGTACCGCTTACCTGATACATGCCCCTCACCCAAGGTACAAGAATGAAACTCATGAATTACCCCCACTCCCACCCACATTCCCCACCCCCACCCCCACCCTTTGGTGTAATGGTGTTGGAGGTCGCCAACTAGGCAATAAAACACACACAATTTGTAGTTTTCAACTTATTTTTTAAGCTATCATTGTGTCCACAGAAAACCTAGCTTACACCAACACTTTTCAATATAAAAACTTGTCTTCAAAACACTTTTCTAAGCTTTTTTTTCATAAAAAGCAACAGTACATGTAGAAATCATTAAAACTACTGATGAAACACAATTGACTCAAATCATTTGAATTGTGTCAAATATGTATATGATGGGAGGACCCAGAAATGTTGGCTCCTATTTTCTCTATTGTGACAGAAGAGGCTAATGTTTGTTGCTTATAATGCAATGCAGGACACAGTGTTGTGTAAGATATATAGAAAGGCAACCTCCTTGAAGGTGTTGG